ATAGCAAACACAATATTGCAGCAGAAGAAAAATTCAGAAACTTCACTCGACATGAATATTCATCCGGAGAGCAAATTAGCTCATACTTTTTAAGGTTGTGTCAGAAAGAAAGACAGTCAACAGGTGAAGGTATTGAGACTGTTGAGAAACGATTGAATATGTCATGCATGTTCAGGACGAGAACAAATTCATAATAAATACAATAGGTAGGTCCTGTAATCGAGGCCGTCCGGCATGAAGGTTGGGGGAATTTGGACTGCCGCTGGAACATGAGGGTATATTGGATAGGGACAAAAGTTTTGCCTTGCAACAGGCCACCTACGGACCCCTCAAACAGTTGTTGCAAGGGTTCTTAACGTGAAAAGAGCGTGACACTCTCTCTACATGAGGTATCGGAGATTTATCGTCCCCTTTCTGATCGGACGTGGGTGCGTACTTGTACATCCCGTACAGTCAAACGGACGCCTTATTCGGCGAGGGTTTTTTTTTTACTGCCGGTCGGAACACAACCAGACTGACCATATTTATATTCCCCAGTCACCCTTGAGGTAGGCTGCAGAGGAAGCGGACAGGAAAGATAAGTTGAAAAGTGAAGTGAAAAACATATTCAGTTAATTGTAAATTTGATAATAAATACTGTAACAAATTTTTATCTATACTTTTCAGGAGAATATGAACTATAACTAAATAAACACATTCATGGTAATCGCATGCCCCTATAAGTTATTTCCACTAAGTAAGCATTCTAGAATTTTTAAATTAGATATCAAAGTGTCTGCTGACAAATAATCATTGATGGTATTGTTTTACTTCATTAGATATGACTATTTCTTTTAAATTTGACTACTTACTGATTATGACACGTCAATTTTTAACCAAAGCACAAGAAGTTACTTATTCTTTTGACCTTGAAGACGCATATTATTTCAAATAGAGTGATTAAACTGCAGTTTTTATAGAATGACGACTCCTGCCAGATAAGTAATCTCTATTTCAAGATTGTACCGCGCATTTTGTGGACAAAAATTACAAAAGAGACAGAAGGACATCGGTAGTGTCTTAACTGCCACAGAGAGAAGGAGCAAATAAATGAAAGGTCTCCGATAATTGACCATATCAGCATAATTTGTTGTTCATTTGGAATTATACTTTCAGTTACAGGTAATTTTAAAGTTTTAATCTAAGTTATAACAGAGAACTAATCATTATTGATTTTTATCAATTTTTAGCAAATAATAAACTACCTGGTACAACTAATTTAAGACCTATGAAAAAGGAGACAACAAACATATAATACATGCAATATTGAAATTGTTTTGATCCCATGAAACTCTCAGTAGAAAAATATCAATCGTATTTATGAGGGTGTGGATTGGGGGTTTACAGAATAGAGAATAATGGGCAATACATATAAAGAATAGAAAAAATGGAAAAAAAAATAAAGAAAAGAGAATAATGAGATTCTAAGATATAAAAAATAGAGACAAATGGCCTAAAACTTTAAAGAATACAGTAAAAGTATGGAACAAACAAATATATAATTATCCATTTTTAAGTTGTTGTTTTATTATGATTTTTGATTGCTTTTTTTTTCTTTTTCTGACAGCGTTGGGATTAACACATAAGTCATTTAATATGAAAGTGAATAACTTTTTCAGAGCATTTTTCAGTTTTTTTGTTTTTGCTATCTTTGATCCGAATCTTCTCGAAAATTTCATCTAAATTCAAATCTTGTTGTTTCCGGTGTAACGCGTTGCAGGGGACATGGAAATACCGGGCATCCGTCCGTCCGTGTGTCCATTCGTGTGTCCGTCCATGTGTCCGTCCGTGTGTTTGTCCGTGTGTATGCTCGTGTTTCCGTCCGCCCGGTCTTGTTAGCGCTCTCACAGGTACAATTCTTGCCAGATTTTTATAAAAAAATTATACTATAGATTAATATAGGCACTATCTCTGACAAGTTCTATTATGGTGGACGATCGACTTTTTTTAAAAGAGTTATGACCCTTAAATCTATGAAAAATGGCCTCGTTAGCGCTCTCACGGATACATTGTTTTATAAAACTTATAGTATACTATAAGTAATGCCCTTTATGGTCTGTTTGAAATATTTAGTATACAATAAAAAAAACTTTTTTGTCCCCCGCGCACGCTCTTTATTTATAAATTGTTTTAAAGAACAACAAAAAAATAAAAGTCTTTTTTTTTATATTGCTCCATGATAAAATATGTGCAACGCGGGGGACATTGGAACTCTGTTATTTTACTAAAGTTGCTTTGACTTTTGAATTGGTTGTGTCCTCTTAGATTTCGAGACATTTTAAGCGTATTTTGCACTAAATCTCTTACATTGTCCATTGTGTTGCGTTTCACGCGTATTTATACTTTCAAAGCATTTCTTTTTTTTTTTGGTTTGCCCCCTCCTTTTTCCACTCTTCTGAGCATTATTTTTTATTTCAAAACTTTTCAAAGCGTATTTAGTTTCGGTTGTAAATCACAATTTTGTAGTGAAAAACTGTGCAAAGAATTCGTTTGCTTCTAGTTTCGATATTTGAATTGTTGCTGTAGCATTTATTCCTTACTTGTGATAGCTGATGTAGTTTTTAGTTTTACAGTTTCAGTATTTTCACACCTTTGCTATTTGTTTAAATTATTTCAAATTTTTTCATGGCTGTATCAGCTTTAAGGTTTGAAATTATCGTGTTTAATTTTGAGTAAATCTTAATTTCAATACCCTAAAAAAAATCGTTATCAGTTGTACTGATGTTCGTGCAATAATTAACATTTTATATAAAAAAATTGCTCGGAAATCGTCAATTACCTACCATTCAAAGAACTAAGAATTACGCATTTTGGTATTAAACGGACTAAAATGCAGATAAAAGAATATTTTAATTGGTACAAAATCATGGTGATTATAAATCAACATATCAGACAGTGCCCTTTCCTGATGTAAATTACGGAAATCAAAAAAGAGTCATGAAGCTCTACAGAACTATCGTGTTGGGCTTCTTATGGGCAGAGTAGGCTTGAATGATATGGTACCATTTCCTAAGTCAGAGCGGACAACATATTTATTTTAGTGATCGGGGATTCTTTTACCGGATGGATGGAAGCCTTTCTATTACCTAATCAATATGCGCATAACATTGCCGAGAAAATCGTTAACGAGATTTCAACAGTTTGTAATTCCGCTGGAAATCCATACAGATCAATAGATTAATTTCATTTCACTAATGTAGGCTCCATGATATCTATCAAACGAAATAGACTCCTTATCAACCATCATCAATTGGTCTGATAGAAAAATTTAGCCAAACCTTAAGAAACATAATCAATTCTTATATAAATGATAACACAAACAAAATAGATTTATATATTCCCATTGAGAAAATTTTTAAAATTCCGGCGAAAGACAAAAATGCGACCATGATTCGAGAATGATTGACAAACCATTATGAATTAGATCTCTTGTATATGAAATAAACCAGTTTTCATGTCCAATTGAGTGTCCATGTATTTTAACAACAAATATTGCGATGTGTTAGTCGACAAAAGTCTGGAGTATCGAAGGTATTATTTCCATTTTCGCTAAAGTGTTTCTTAAAATTCACACACTGACTTCCACCTCTCGCTGTCCCTTGCTTCCAACCAGCTCTCAAATCGTTTCCAGCAAAATATTTTATAAAAAGGGTGAAGAACACACTTATTTCCAAAACAAATACACCTTTATTTGTTGAGTTTAGTGGATTGATATTTCAACATCCAGTCGGTATTTTATTGGTATTATTATGAACCCTTACAGGCCGGGAGACTTGTGTTTGTACGTATATGAAGCAGAATTCATATAAAATCTACAGAAATACAAACATAAATAATATCTTCAAAAGTGTTTAAATTTCATTTTCAGAGCGATCATGTCCTGTCACCTAAATACCATATTTTAGCGAGTGCTTGTATCTCATTTATCACAGAAATTCAGAAATTTAAGAATCAAAAGAACCTAGTAGCTCTGCTTCATATCTTGTTTTTTTCCCTAGATATCAACTCAGATGGACAACTTCAAACTAGTATTTATGACAAATCTGATTATTTATGAGGAAGAAGGACTGATATCGCCACAACATAAGTGTTACGGTCACCATCACGAATTAGTTGACCGATACGACATATCTGTGTCACAACTCACTAGCAACATGTTTTCGCAATATGAGATCTTTAGACACTTCAATAGTTGTCTAGTCTGTAATTTTACTGATTGTGACATTTTGATAAAATGTGGATTCGCATGCCGGGTGATGCATGCATTATATGAGACGCTTAGCCTGTCGATTTTGTTTGCTGCCTTGATTTTACGTCTTAATCGATTGATCAGATTTGAATATCTATAAACTATTGTTGTCCACAATGATAGTCATGAAATGAATTTTGAAGTGATACTTGTATTAAAATTGTTACCCAAAGGGTTGACTAGAGTACAGACGTATGGTCATTCCTTAATTTTCCACCGACTACCAATAAGACCAGTGCCAAAGTTAGGCGTCCGTGTGGCTGTGCTGTATATATAAATTTGCAGCCGAATACGATCAGAATAGGGACGTTAAATGTTATGCCTCGTGAAGAAAGGTTGGCATGCACTCTGCATGTTTAGAACTCATGCATCCGCCCTTGGAGTGATCCGTATTTGACCTATCACAAGGCTAAATTTTATTCCCTATCAACATATCTTTATATCGACGCATCTGTTTTGATCCCATTACTTTTTGTTGGTTTCATTAATTTGTCTTCTTAATCATTTTATGAGATTTGAACATAATAACTGTTGCCTAAACCTACCCAATGAATCCTCAATTTTCAGTGGTAATTTATGTGTCAATATATTTTTTTTATATATATTAAAATGTAAACAAAAAGAGTTTAGTAGATTTTTCAAACAGGTGAACAATGAAATTATGTATTGCAAATAAATGCACAAAAGTGTGATCAGAAAAAGAAACTAAATATAATTCACATCTAGATATATTCAGTAAATGATAAACATATTAGTTGATATACTTATGTAATAATTCAAGACAAGATATTAGATTCAACATATATACAACATATACTCATCTTTGAAACTAAATTATATTCTTAAGAAAAATGTATTTGCGATTATCATTATTATTAATATTATTAATATTCTAAATATAGTTACTATTATTATAACAATTCTAAATTTTAATTTAATTTTCAACAGTGTTGATATGATACGTTGTAGTTCGTTGGTCATTATCATTTATTAAAATCTGATATCTACATCATGGTTAATTTTGATTTTGTTGAAATATGACATAACGTTCCCGTAGAGATATTTTGGTTACAGAAAAAACAAATTGTGTTCTATTAAAAGTTGGGAAATGTTTCGATGACTCTATTTAAACACCATTACTTGCCAACAATGTCTCTTTGAGATTAATGTAGGATATAATGCAGAATCATACATTAATAAAACCCTTAATCCTTTCCTACTTTAAATACCACACTGTCAAATTAACCAATACATCTGTTTAACCTGTTTAAACGCATAGACTGTTGTTTTTACAGACAACGCATCAAACATAAAATGTTTTGTGTGTTTATAACATTTTAGAATTATTTAAAAAATGTGATAGAAATTAACATGTTACTTGTTACCAAAACATATACTTTAACGAATCTTACTAAATACGATTAAAATATAAATACCAAAAAATATATATTTATTAATACGTTGATTAATTAGACACTTGTTACCACTGTATCTAAAAGTCATTTCAAAATGAAGTGAAAATAAACCATAAAGACAAATGATCAACCTACATAGCCCATCTCTCCCGCCATAAAAAAATACCCCACCCCCTTTCCATAAAAATGTATAAATAGATGAATAAATAAAAAGTAAATAGATAAATAAATTATAAAAAATAAGATAAAATAGTTTATTGTTAATAAATGCTTTGTAGAGTTCATCACACGATTTCAAAATACTTAAAAAGACATAAAAACAAAAATACAAATTAGATACATGCTATAAATATAATTTGATAACATATAAAATAACTTTATACAATGTATGATACAACTTGTGGTTTCATTTCTTCTTTGTTTTCATTTATCACACAACTTTGAATTCTACAGAAAAAATGCGTTTGCTATTATTATCATTAATGTATTTATTATTATACAACCATTAAATATTTTTCTTTTTCTTTCGGTACTTTAAAGACCTCACTGTTCTTATCACTTAAGTAATATTTACCTGTCTTGACGAACTAACTGTTTTTCTCGAAGACAAAAGTATAAAACAATAAACGCTTTTTGTTTAAATTACTTTTCATAAACTGTTTGATAAAATAACTAGAAATTGACACCTTATTTTGTTGCCAAACATATACTATAACGAGATTTCCTAAAGAGGAAATCATGGACAATCACAGTTTATTTTATATTCCTTTTGGAATTCAATTAAAAAGAAATGATTGAATCTTCCCTTTACTTTATATTTACGTTATAATGGTTGATCTGCAAAACACTCAACGAAATATCATTCAGAATATGTATTATCTGTATAACCTGTTACTGGGATTTCAAAGTTTATGTGAATGTGCATGGATAAAATATTTAAAAATGATATGATATTCTTTTGGTTGCATTAACGATCATGGTTATTATTTAAAAGAGGATTAACTGCTTACAAGAAAGAAAGAAGATACCAATAGGGTAAACCATAGTTAAAAACAAACTGACCATTCAATGACAAAAATAAAACGACGAAAGACAACTAGTCATTAAAAAAAACACAGTTAAAACTTTAGATTGGGTCACAGTTAAAACCGGGGATAAACTCAGAACTCCAAGAAGGGTGTGCAGTTCTTGTTTTCCTAGTGACACTTTCGTGTTGTTCATTGAAATGATAAATTCAGTGATGGTGTCATTATTGAGGAAAAGAAGACGGAATTTTGGCAACGACAAATATTATATATTCGTGGCCATTGGTAACACAGATATTCCATCATGGTCAACCAAATCGGGACGATGTCCGTATAACTTTCGACGGGACGATTTCTCCTTCACTATTTAGATCCCTAGTTAAATCGTTTGATGTTCCTATCGACAACTGCCCATTATTTAAGACTGTATGTTGTTCTATTACAATCATTTTGATATTTGTATTTGTTGGATTGCTGTCTCATTTACGTTTACCTCATAATTTTTTTTATTCATATTATACTTTATCTTCATTAAAAAACATCATCTTAGGAAACGCAAATTCTGCAATGTCATATCAACAAGGTGATCATCTGCAGATGATGACGGAATGTTGCTACCGAGAACTGGAAAGTTTGCCAAATTAAAAATTGAAATCATATTTGCATTGGAAGAGTTAATTTGGCACCTGATCCATATTGTCAATTTTACATGAAAAAGATATGAAGCAGACATTAGTGTATCTGTTATATACTTTATTTCTTCATTAAAACGATGTCACACAAAGAAATATGGAGCTTATTCATCGGCTAGAGAAGAGCAATCATTTTAAACAGGTTTGGTATTTTAATTGGGGTGTATATGGTAGAACAGAAAGTGGTGCACAGATAAATTTTGGAAGGTATGAAGACATCAACTTTCGACTCAGACAATTAAGGTCTGGGCATAAACTCTTGTGGTAAAAATATTTCTGACAATTATTAGATGTAAATTTAAGAAAAATTTGAAAAAGTTAACTTTGTACATGTATAAATTAAAAAAAAAGGAAGTAAGAACTCTAGAATTTGCAAAAATTGTACTTTACTTCAAGTATAAAATGATGCGAGTTATCTTAGTTTTGTATTTATGTTTTTATTCAGTATTTCAACATTTATTTAAAGACAGTTTTCAAAAGCATTTGTTTGTTTGCCTGATGAATTTGTGTTTTCAATATTTTGTGAATATTAGTATGTACATGCATAGTGTAAATGTATTTACCTTATTATGGGGTCTCTGAAACTGTTAACAGTAAATTGCCAGGGTTTGCGGGATAGTGTAAAAAGAAAAGATGTGTTTAATTTACTGAAAACAAAAAAATTATAATATTTACTGCTTACAAGATACGCATTTTACTACTGAAATTGAGAATGCTGTCAGATCCATGTGGGGTTTTGTATGTTTTTTCTTCTTCTTTTTCCTCTAATTCAAGAGGCGTATCAATCTTGTTTAATGATAATTTTGAATTTGAAGTGCTAAAAGAGAAAAAAGACTTGAATGGCAATTACTTAGCATTAGATGTTATAATAGATAAACAGAAACTTAAACTTTTGTCATTATATGGACCTAATGTTGATAGTCCTGGTTTTTATGATCAGATTATGAATGTTATTGAAGATTTTGGAAATGAAAGTTACATACTTTGTGGTGACTTCAATTTAGTATTAGATCCATGTATTGATTACTGTAATTATTTACATGTTAATAATCCCAATGCCAGAGATAAAGTTCTTGAAATTATAGATCACTGGTCCCTTGTGGACCCTTTCAAAGAACTGTTTCCTGATCTACACAGATACACTTGGAGAAAAAAATCACCATTCAAACAAGCACGTCTTGACTTTTTTCTTATTCCAGACTGTATGTTGACAAACTTAAGAAATTGTAAAATTGAACTGAGTTATCGTTCAGATCATTCCATGGTAGTTTTAGAATTTGAATTTAATCCTCTTGTTCGAGGTAAAGGTCTATGAAAATTCAATAATTCATTACTTTATGATATTGAATACATAAATGTTATTAAAGATAAGATTTCAGATGTTAAAAAACAGTATGGTGCATTGGTTTATAATTTTGAAAATATACATGAGATTTGTAATGATGATCTTCATTTAACTGTAAATAGTCAGTTGTTTCTTGAAACTTTGTTGTTAGAAATTAGAGGTAAAACCATCTCTTATTCAAGCTACAAGAAAAAACAAAGGGATAAAAAAGAAAAAGATTTATTATGTGATATTGCAATATTAGAACCTGCACTAGAAGAAAATTTAGTACGGAGCTTAGAAATTAAAAAACAAGAATTAGAAAGTATAAGAAAAGAAAAGATTAGGGGGGAATTTATACGCTCTAGAGTTCAGTGGATTGAAGAAGGTGAAAATCTACAAAGTATTTTTGTGGTCTTGAATCAAAAAATTTACAAGCAAAATAATTCTCAAAGTAGAAAAGGATAACGGGAAAATTATTACAAACCAATTTGATATTTTAAAGGAGACAAAAGACTTTTATGAAAATTTATACAAAAATAGAGATAAATATGGCAATGGGTGTAAACTGAGTGATTTAGGAAGAGACTTGAAAGATTTAAATTTTAGTAAATTATCAGTGGATGAACAGTTGAATTTAGAAGGGGAGATAACTATAAATGAAGCCAGCATTACTTTACAGAAAATGAATAATAATAAATCACCAGGGTCAGATGGTTTTTCAACAGAATTTTTTAAGTTTTTCTGGAAAGACTTGAAATCTTTTGTTGTTAAATCTTTAAATTATGGGTCAAATTTAGGACACTTATCAGTGACCCAAAGGCAGGGAATCATTACATGCTTACCAAAAGACAATAAACCAAGACATTTACTCAAAAATTGGAGACATGTCTCCTTGCTGAATACTGTATACAAAATTGGTTCAGGGGTTATTGCTAGTAGATTTAAAAAAGTTTTAAACAAACTGATTGATTTAGATCAAACTGGCTTCATCAGTGGACTTTATATTGGGGATAACATTAGATTGATTTATGATCTTTTACAATATACAGAAGAACATAACATTCCAGGTTTATTGCTTTTAATTGATTTTGAAAAAGCATTTGATTCTCTATCTTGGGACTTTCTGGTATCAGTATTGCAATTTTTCAATTTGGTGAATCTATTGTTAACTGGGTTAAGGTATTTTATAATAATATCTCATCTACAGTCATTCAGGGGGGAAATCTTTCAAACTTTTTTCAAATAGGACGTGGCTGTAGACAAGGGGACACCTTATCACCGTACGTTTTTATACTTTGTGCAGAAATTCTGGCAATTCGGATACGGGGGAATAGAAATATTACTGGTATAACTGTGACTAGGATAGAACATAAGTTATCACAGTTTGCAGTTGATACCTCACTTATTTTAGATGGAAGTGAACAATCCTTAAATGAAACTTTAAATGAATTAAATTGGTATGCAAAACTTTCAGGGCTAAAAATAAACTTTTCTAAAACACAGGTAGTTTGGATTGTGAGTAAAAAATATTGTAGTGATAAACTTTGTCCAAACAGAAATTTATCCTGGGGTACAACATCTTTTAAGTTATTGGGTAGTAATTCCGATGTTGATCTTGAGAAAATTATTAACATTAATTATAATGAGAGGATTTTGCAGATAAAAAATCAAATTAAGAAATCTTACAGTAATAGGTAAAATTGCAGTTGTGAAAACTCTGATTTTACCTGTCCTTAATCACCTTATAATTACATTGCCAAATCCAAATCAAGAACTTGTTAAAAAGATTAATAAGCTTATTTTTACATTTATTTGGAAATCACCTATTCATAGAGTCAAGAAAGAGCTATTGCAAAAGGATTACAGTGAAGGTGGATTGAAAATGATCAACCTAAGCTCCTTTATCACAGCCCTCAAATCTACATGGGTTAGAAAACTTTTTCAATCTGACAATAAATGGAGAAATGTTTTATTTTCCATAATAAATCAAGAAAAATTATTTAAACTTGGAAATGGTTATCTGTCACACATCAAAGGAAATATGAAAAATAAATTTTGGCATGATGTATTCCATGCATGGGACATTATTGTTGATAAAGAAGAAAACAATACGTGGGAATATTTTTTTGTCAAGCCGACTGTGGATGAATAATTGTACATAAATAGAAAATAAACCTGTATTTTACAAAAACTGGTTTAATAAAGGTATACTTTTTATTAATGACAGTGTATCAGATGCTGGAAAATTCTCAGTTTGGAACAGTTAGAAGCAACATTCAAAATTGACAAAAAACGTTATGAAATATAACAGCATAATTTCTGCTGTAAAAAATGAAAGAAAGGGCTATGTTTTTGAAAATTATAAACTAGTCACTCCATTTATTCCTTCATTTGCCAAGATTT